TGATTGTTTTTTAAGAAGGCTTTGACTGATAATTTGAAAGATTGTTGATAGCTTGAAAGTGATGAGAATACATGGCCTCGTGTTGATATAAGTAGTGTTTATATAAGGCGTATATGAGGATGATGCTTCATTATTGATGTTTCTTGGCTAGAAATAGAGATGATTTGAGCACCATTGATTGTTCCATCATTCTCTTGCTTAGGAATTGGTAGACCCTAACCGATGAATGTCATTATTTTTCTTACTTGCTAAAACTGTTTTTCTTTGAACCGGCCTCTAACTTTTTTGACTTAATAATTTTTTTCACTCTTTTCGATAATAACTATCGTATCAATAAACTTAGATGATGAATTAATGATGAGATACTTGAAGTAAGATGCCTTGAAAATATTTACAATCACAGAGACCTATTCTTTCTCCATTAATGATGTATATATTTGTGAAACAACCTCGTACCATTTACGGGCATACCTTTTAGTGAACCTTTTCACCATCTTTTTCAAGGTTTACAATATCGTTCTATTTGGGACCACTTCTAAATTAAACTTGTATTGACGGATGAAGTCTTCACCAAATCCTTCAACTTTTGAATCTTGATTTTATCAAGATGCATATACCAACTAAGAGAACCACCATCTAAACTCTTATAAAAAAAAAAGTAGATCAAGAGCATCTCATCATACATAACATTTGCTATTTTGCTATAGTAAATTCGAAAATGGATTTTCGAGCACCGAGTATCAATGTACTTGATGAATTCGAGTACTTTGAACTTCACTAGAATGATAACATCAAGTGCTAAACACATTTTAATAGTTTTCACCAAGTCATACACATTCATGCCCTCAATAGCTCATCGACGCTCTTGATAGACAAGTTTCTCTAATTCACTTTTCTCTTCAATTTATCTTAGATTGGTTCTTTAATAGTGGCATTCGTAGTCAAAATTGGCTAACTAGTGGGTTTTTATGGGAAGTACTAGAATCAAGTATGAAGTATTGGAAGACGATACCTTGTGTAGTGAATTCCGTATTGTATCTTAATTGTGACACACTAAAGATGTTTATTAAAGGAAAGGCATGATTGGAGTAAAACTAACAATGTAGGAAGACTATTGTGTATCCCTAGCAGGAAATGTGATTAGAACTTTAGTAATAAGTGGGGTGGAGGATTTAGCCTCTTTGGATGTCCTCTTATCTCGCTTGTTTTATTTGAAGAAGTTACTCTATCAAACTAGCCAATCAAGCAATTTCCTCCTTAAGGTCTTCGGCTTTTTTAGCATTGTTATGCTCTATTAGTTTTTTTTTTCATTCTCTATCTTCTCCTCAAGTCCGGTGTTGAAGAGTTTTGATGGAAGTTGAACTCTTGCAGGTACGACCTATAATTTTACATATGACAATAAATAGCTTGAATAAACATCAAGTTTTTTGCCAATTTTACATATGACAATAAATAGCTTGAATAAACATCAAGGTTTTTGCCAATTGAGATTGGGTGTGAGATCATGGAAGTTAAGCCTCTTTTTAAGTTAAAAATGGGCTTCAAGCCCATATAAGCATTTCAAACCATTTAAAAATAATAAATTAAACCCACAATCCAATATTTAATTTAATGTTAAATTTGTGCGGAAAAAAAGTTAGTGGTATAGAGAAAATAAAAAAGAATTCAAGTTGGACAAATAAACAAATATGACAATAATAATAACAACAATAATAACAACAAAAACAACAACAATGATGACAACAATAATAAATAAATAAATAATAAACAAATAAAATACATAGTGATAAGAAAAAGCCCATTCATTGAAACAAAACTAGTCCGAGGTCTTACCCCTAATGTACCTAGACCGACCTAGACCTACTTCACTCAAACAAACATGCAAAAATACGGATCACAAATCACATTACGACAAATTCATGGAAAGTGACTAGCCTATTCAATTTAGTTTACTTTCCCACCAAACGAAAAAAAAAAAAACATTGGACTATTGCTAATTTCATCATCGATCAACAGTTCTCGAATAACTATTTATACATAAAATAAAAATAATACTACTTTATGTCAATCATCCTTAATCCCAAATTTATCTTATGACAATAGTAATAATGATGATGATGATAATAATAATAATGCCGACAACAATAATAAATTTAAAAATTTAAAGTTAGCTACCCAAAATTCTTATCACATTGAACTTACAAATGGGATAATATCACACTCATCTAATTTCAAATATTTCAAAATAAATTCGGGAGCTACAATTAATTTTTTTTATTTTTTTAAAAACTCATTTTTATGCCTTAATAATTGATTGATATAAATTAATTTCACATCTCATTGCAAAATCACATTGAGATTCATAATGACTTTCAAGATTACATTGGATCAAATTGCACACAAGATTACATAGGTCAATACAGAATCATGTCAATCATAAAATCAAGGACTAAATTACCTAATTAGAGAAATGGAGATTGACTCATGAGGAATGGAAAAGAACAGGGACTGAATAGGACAAAATAGGACAGACTTAGAAAGACTGAAACTACGTGTGTGGCTGCATGGCAGCAGCGTCTTTAAGCCCGATAATTGTAATTCACACACATCTCCTCTGTTTCTCTTTCCTCATGCACTAAAAACACATTTCCATGGATATTGATATACATTAAAAGATATTTTAGATATTATGTGCTAGTTTAATAAATCTGGTAAAAACTTAATAATGAAAAAGTAAATAATTAATTTTTAAAACGAGATAAATTAATTTATTTTTTTCCAAAAAGAGGGAGTAATTTGTAGTTTACTCAATTATAAAGTCAAACAAAAACATATTTTCATTGCTTTGTAATGGAATCAGAAATTTCAAACATCGAATCTTAACATCACCGATCTTTCTTCTCTCTCTTTGTTACATCTTCACAAAAATCTTTCTTCTTTCTCTTTGTTACATCTTCACAAAATCCTCGAATGCAAAAGGTTTCAGAATCAAAGTTATCAAAGATCAAAGATCAAATGCGAGTAAGTTAAACACGAAGGGACTGGGAAATGAATTAACGAGACAGAAAAAGAAATTACAACACGTGGCTGACAATAAGTGCATGTCAGTGCTGAGTAACTTATAAATTAATTCATCTGGTTTCCATAAATGATTTAATTAGTTTTTTAATTTCAAAAATTAATTATTTAATTATTTAAACAATATTGATTACGACTAATTTAATATATATATATATATATTATTTTACAAAATATTATTTTTCATCGATCTATAAACATATATTTTTTTTATTTTTTAAAACAAAATATCAAAATAAAATAAAAAATTAAATAATTAGTTTTCAAAACCAAGAGAACTAATTAATTCATTTTTGAGAGAAACTAATATATAATTTACTCATGAGAGTATTTAAGAAAGTTAAATAGTTAGCTGGACGCACGTGAGAAAGTCAGTTGGGCTGATTTGCTGGTAGTTAGCTTGTTAGTTACTTTTTCTCACTGTTTTTCCTCTCTGGACAATATCGTAACTCGATTTCTAAATCAATGCAAGTGTTGTTTTGGTTGAAATACAGTCTTTAATTCTTAAATTAATTTAGAATCTGCAATTCAATCTTAAGTTCTTCCTTTTGGAATTTGAGATTGCATCATCCTCTCCCTTACCCTGAAAAACATGCGCCATTATCGTGATGACCTTGGTATAGGTCCTGCAGGTTTGAGTGCAGGCGGTGGCCATTATACTCTATAACAGCAAGCTCTACGTGCTGATAACTTAGAGAGCTAACTAATTAAATTTACAGGTTTCAGAATAGTATCAATATGGAGGTGCATGTGAAGCAGATTCCCAGTTTTGATAAAATATGATACATGATTTTAAGCACTTTCAAAAGGCTTCACACGATACACTTATGCAATTTCTTTTTCTCAAGCTCACCTGAAAATGCAGGGCGTTAAGTTTCCAACAAAAAAGCTACGTGCTCTGACTTGGAACAAAGATCCTAGCTGTCTGAAAGTAAATAAACATTGATGCATCAAGAGTTGACCTCCAGAAACTGAAATCAAATTGATGTTAAAAAATTACCATAAACACATCATAGCTAGCTCAAGCAGACAGAATCAATAACCTAATGTATCTGATACACCCATTGCTATTCAACGACTGTAGTCTGTATGTAATAGGGGCTCGAGTCTTTGTCTCGCAATTACATCATGTATCAACTTCACCAAATGCATACTTCCATTTTTATGTTTCCATTGATCATGACCTAACCATCTTCAGGATTTGAGGCTAATTTCCTTTATCTAGTTTCTCATGGGCATATTAGCACACAACCAAGTGTTAATGGCATTCCAAATGTATCCCAACTTTCTTTCTTTCTCTACAAAAGCGAAGTGCCATTAATTAGCAATAAGTAGAGCGCCCTGCTCGTCAAATATTGCCTTTGCCACCTCTAATTTCAACCGCTGAACCACTTAATTGTGTGTTTGACACTCATTCATCTTACGACACAAAGGAAAGGGATAAGGGAATGAAAGGGAAAATGAAAATTCTTACTACTTGTCAGAACTCAAAAATGACACAATGACTACCTGGAGCAGTCATCCATTTCAAGTTGTTATAGACCATCTACTGATACAGAAATGCTGGTACTACCAATATGACAGCCATTCTAAACACCAAGACCTAACACCTGTGAAATCAATCCTCCTACTTTGCAGTTTTCCCCACCAATTTTTCACCTCATTACACTTGCAGTGAGGATGATCTACTTGTATGATTTTATCCTAAATTCCAACTGCTATTACAGTTTATTTTCCTTAGAGGTGTCTAACATGAATAACTATGCCGGCGAACTTGTCATGTATGACCACAGGAGAAATCAGAAAAGAAAAATTTAGTATACAAGAAGCAGATATAAATGACCAGAGGACTATGTCATGAAGCACAAAATCAACACTCACTATGCGATGATGAAACCTAAATAGTGGCATAGTAAAACCATTCAGCACACCTTAGAAGATGAAACAGGTAAAGAAGCCTGCTGCAATGGCTCTCTCAACTGATAGATTTCTTGAAGCTGGCTCACTATCTCCTCCACGTGTTTCAATTGCACACTGACTCTCCTCTTATGCTCTGCAGAGAAAGTCAATTTTTCCTTTTCCTCTTGCACTGCTTGTAGCCTTTCTCTAAGCCATTCAACTTCAGAGTCAATTTTCAACCTTTCACTATTGACTGCAGATGAAGAATTCTGCTGTGAGTCAATATCCAACGTTTTGCACTGTGAATTGCCCAACCCTGGTGAACTGCTAGCGGTGTCCAAATGGCTTCCATGAGCATTAGGCTCAATTTCTGTCTCACTTATACTTGGAAACTCACTCAGTTCACTAGTGGTCCAAACCCCAAAATCTGAAGGAGCATTACTCAATGGTCCACTTTCTTTTCCACCATCCTCCTTCCAAACTGTACTTTTATCATCAAGGACATGAACATCATAAACAATCAATTCGGTGTCAAGCACAGGACTATGCATATAGCTTCCTGGTTGATTCAAATGGTTCCTGTCTTTTCCCAGCTCCTCTCCCACGCCTCCACAAGTTTGGGATATCATGCTAATCTCTCTTTGTGGTTTTTCTTTCTCTGCTAAGCTAGGAGTTTTCTGCAGCACCTCTTGTAAAGTAGATGAATTAGAAGCTGACTCCTTAAGCTCTGGCATCATTTCCTTCCCAAAAGAAAAGGTGTGACTATGTTCATGATTTGATGAACAATTTGTGTTTGTTTCCACTTCATTCTGAAAAATGGTTTTAGTCTTCCCAACCTGCTGCTGCAGCAGCAGTAGGGTCTCATTTGAATCGAGTGAAAGTAAGGGCCTTTTTCCAGTATTGTTTGGCTTATATCTTGAGCCGTCTTCCAGCTTCTCCTTTCCTGAAGTGTTCATCAGGCGATAAGCTTCGAGTTCCTTCTCCAGAAAATGATTCTCTCGCTCCCTTCTAACAATAAGCTCTTTCAGAATGGTCATCTCTTCTTCATCATAAGCAAACTTTTCTTCTATCATCCTCTGATACTGCCTCGCTTCCATTTCTATCGATGCCTTATCCTCTTGCAACCTCATGATCATGGCCATGGCCTCATCAGCTGCACTAGCAGCAGCAGCCCTCTCTTTCTCCAAATCTTGGTGAAGAGCAGCAAGGGCAGCTTTCTCTTCTTCAAATGCTTGTTCCAACATTTTGATTGCATTTGCATCATTTCCAATGCTGTTCGATGTGTCTTCAATGTTACATGCAATGTCTCCAACAGATGATGGATCATTTCTGATGCCTTTACCCTTGTCATACGACCCATTCAATTCAAAACTACTATGAACTCGTTCACCATTATCAATACTATTCAGAGCATGCCCATCATCTAAAATAGCATTACCAGAAAGGTAAGTCTGCATTTCGGTGTAAATATAAGATAACTAAGAATATCAATACAAAATATTATAGAGTCCAGTTAAAACTCACACTTGATCGCTATTTTAATGACATATTGGGATTAACAAAAGTTATTGTTTCAAGTTTTAATTCCGAAATCAGGCAACTAAAAATTTTAAAAGTATAGCAGAATCACCAACAAATAAGCATAAGTCAACATCACAAACACGTATCTGAAAACACTAAGTAAAGAATAATATTTAAGGTGCATATTTCACTCACCCAGAAGACCATCTTCGGTTCCGCTTGCAGGACCCAAGTTTTCACTGATTTGACTTCTCATCTCACCGCCGCTATCATGATAAGAGTGAGGAACACCTAGACCAACTGAGCCAGTGCTTTTAGGAGACAAAGCAGAAGGGAATTTTCCATATCCAAGAGCAGTTCTCCTGCGCCTTCGGATTCCAGACCTGAGCTTTTGGTTCGTAACTTTCTTTCTCTTGGTATCATATCCACTTTCTCCATCAACAGAAGAAAATAATCTCGGACCTGAAAAGGAACTAGAGCACCCTTCTCCCTCCAATTCAATCACCTCATTTTCGCGTTTTCTATCTCTAACACCCTCCACATGCAAATCACTTGACTGAGCCCTAAACCAAACCAAATCAAAAGGGAACCTACTCTTCACCAAGTCTTGAACATAATTGATTTTGCTTCTTGGCCAATCAATTACCAGTTTATGCAAGCACAAATCATTATTTTGATACCCCAAAATGCCGCTACATGGACATGGCAGATAAAGTCCAAAAGCACTCAAGAATTTTGATAAAAGAAAAGCAGAAGCGGATCCGCAAAGCAGGACGTAAGCAATGGCAAGGTCAACGAAGGCCAATATAAGAGTAGCCAAAGTCCATGAATGAACAGGCCTGAAAGCCATCCACCTTTGAAGAGCTCAGAATGGAGCAACTGAGAATTACAAGCAATTAATTCAACAACTAAAAATTGAAAACCCATCTAGAAAATACACACTTTCGAACTAATTTAGTGGCAAAGAATTAACCAAAAGAAGAATAATCCACCATGAGAAAAACTATAATCAATAGAGAAATCCAACTAAAAGAGAGCAAAATTTACCTGGAGATCAGGAAAAGGCAGCTAGTCATAAAACCAAGATGTTCCAGAGAAAAACAAACAGCTTTGATTTGATTTTGATGATCATCATCCATGCATCAGCGGATAAACATTGAATTTTCTTTTTCTTCTTCTTTAAGGCTTAAGTAATACTTAAGTAAGCTGGAAAGGAAAGAAGAAGCTGGAATTTACGTGCACAAAGTTGATGCGACCGACCACTAAAGATCTGACAAGAATCGTGGACCCGTGGTAATTTTCCCGGCAGTTTTTTTTTTTTCCAGACACGTGAGCTACAACAGGTGCCTACGCAACAAAAAAAGGTCGAAGCCATAATAAAGTTAAAGAAGCATGTTTTTTTTTCGGTTAAAATCTTGAAAAAAAAATATATATTTTTTAATTTTAAGAATATTCGAACAAAGAATTAGTTTCGTTAATTTCCAAATTAATATAAAAAATATCCCTAACCGGATATAAGTAAACCACAATTACAAAGGCGACATAAGCAGAAAAAGAAATAATAAAGAATCACAACCAGTCAATTTTATTATTATTTGGTTTTGAAAAAATTTCGTTAAAAATCTTTATTTATCATTCTCTCTTTGAGGCCATTCACACTTGGCCACATGGACGCAAAAAAAAAAAAAAAAAAAAATCCCACATATCCCCCAAAAAAGCTCCACCTGAACTGAACTTCAACTAGAAGGAGGCAGCACCTGCAGCTGCCGAGTCCATTTGTCTTGGCTCCTGACAAAAAAATATAAAAAAAATGACATTAATGTCAGTTTTATTAACACACGGGACTGCATCCTTAAACCTACCGAAAACTACGCCCAAATGTTTCAGTCCAGGTCGAGGAGCACGAGGTGTAGCAGTAGTAGTACTGAACCGCAGCACAAATAGCTCTGCTCGCAATTCTCAATTCTGTAACAGAGGACCCTCAACTTTCAGGTACCTTCCATCTCGCTAATTTTGTATCCCCCATCTTTGGGGGGTGGGTGGGTGTGGGGTCGGGGTCCTTAAATAGTTAACCTAGCTAGCAAGAAGAAGCGTGGGGCATTTGAAAGAAAGAAAATGGGCAGCTTTGGTCAGTGACTGCTCTCTATCTTAGCTGCGATAAACATAAATGATTAAGTTTCTTTAATTCTCAATCTGATGTTCTTCATTTGTTCTTCTTAAGGATTAAGTTTCCAGGCTAACTCGTACTCCTTTCTTTTCTGGTTATACCATGTCAAATATGAGTAATTTGACCATTAATTAATGTACTGGATAACAATAAAACCAGGCATGTCTAGTTAACTACATTATTTTGTGGATGGGTTATTCCTTTATCTAGCACTAAGATTTCCTAAAGATTGTTAATTTTGATTGCAAAATGAAATACACGACCTCAATATTTGATGTCAACAACTTTGCATTGCATTATTAATCTAGAAAAGTGGTACTTTGATTTCAAAACTCACAAACATTATGCTAGAAATGTGGTGCTTCTTTACTTAGACAATCACATTGTTGTCTCTGTTGCTGATCCGAGGCAGTAACTGTCCCTGTCTGACAAATCCAACTTTTATTAACCGTGAAAGAAGATTGAATCTTTCTCATTAAAATGCTATCTCTTTTTGGTTCATTTTCTGCTCCAGCACTTGGTCATGGTTGTTCAATTATGGCCCGGTGTTGAGGTATAATGTGCCATGAATTTATTGTCATGTTAGCAGGATTAGAAACTTTCAGGGTGAAGACGCAGGAAATTACGAAGCTGAAAAAGATACTCGAGATGACCAGGATATAGCTCTCAATGAGGCAGTTGTAAATAAGAAAAATGAACCAACTTCGATGGGAAGTTCATTTCTCCTGATTTTAGCAATCGCATTGGGTGTCGCTGCAATTTTTACAATCATGTCAGTTGGCCTCAAGCAGTCTAGAACTGGATCTTTCTTTGGAGTTCAATTTCTGGCTGAAGGTTCGCCATCATCAGCCATGGCTGCATCCCCTATTGGTTACACTTTCAAAGCTTTTGGATATAGAGTCATACTTCCTGAATATGCTCCAGGGTAGGCCATCATTCTGCTCTCCACTGTCTCTACTATTTGGACTGCGGTTTGTTAGAATAAACTGCACTTGCATTGAATTCAATCATCTTCCTAACTTTTCTCTGTGGTATGCACACATATTTTGACACCATGCAAGTGCTTAGATCTTCTAATATTCATGCAAAAAGAGAGGACTAGACAGCATTGATTCCCTATATGTATATTTCATATTTCTTTCTTCTTAAGGTTCTCCTAGAATGGCAAATTGCAGATGCATTTACTTTTGGTTGCTCATGGCTGCTGGTTGTGGACTTTTCATCAGCGAAGAGGCTTTAAATATTTGGGTCTGTCCTTTCTACTGGTATTTCTGTTTCATTGACTCAAATGCTTACTTAGCTCTTTGTATTTTTTAAGATTTCAGAGTAATCTTTTACAGCCTTATTCTTGTATTGTAATCTTTCCAGTCAGTTTCTTGCTTATGTTTTAGGTAGGCATAACTTTGTCGCGGATGCTGTCTTTGGATGGCACATGGCAATCTTTTGCTGAATCTTTCACCAGAAATGCTCCATATATTATATCAACAGTTCTGTGGGTATACTGGTTAGTGGCATAACAACTTTGTTCTTTAGCACTTCTTATGTCATTATTATACAAGTTACAACCAGTTATATGTGAGAGAGTACAATCTTGGGAAATGGATTTCTCTGTGGATACTTTGTTTATGTTGAACTAACTGTTTCTGGAGGCAAGAGAAGCTTACACGAGCCTTAAGTAACATAAGGCTAAATTTCCAAGTGAGTATCAGCTGTCAGTTTCCTTGATGTCGATGAATGATAACATTCATTTTAAGTAGGAGCCAAAAACATATAAGTTAACCAGATTTTTATGATTGTTGATAGGTTATTCCTTGTTTCATTTTGTGTCTCTCTGCTTTGAATTTCTTATATTTATATCAATAATTTCTTGATAAATCTTTTTCCGGAACCTGATCTTCAGGGGGTATGCATCAGTGATATGATACCATTCTACCTGGGGAAGCTTTTCAAGCAAAGTGGTGCATCTGATAATGTTTGTTCAAAGGTTTGTTGTGTTTGATTACTAATTGTTTGTCAATGCACATGCACACAACAAAAATGCTTAGATACTTGAGTTAATCAGCATCAAGCCTATCTAATACATTTATGATCACACTATCTTCTGAAATTACAATATATGATTTTTGGGTTTATTTTACATCAATGATGACTATAGTTGGGCATTAGTGAAGAGAAGGTGTTGAGCATTACAAATGTTGTGCAAAAATACGGCAATCTCGCAGGATTTGGTGAGTGGTATGAATTTATTACAATGTTTCATCTGCATGTATTCTGAATCGTTTATTTTCATGTAAATGAATGGTCTTATCAGTTGACAATTAATGCGCATTAACTTGTTGAATGCTCTCATTGTGACAGATATGTATTCTTATATTTACTCTGCTCTTCATTTTTATGACATAATTTAGTTGGATGTTAAAAAATTATCAATACTAAGCTTATTGCTGCCAAATGGGTGTTACACTGTGTTGGACTTTGACATGTGTATATACACGGCAAGGACAACTATTTGATGATCATATTTACTTTTGATCTATGTTAAAAACTCCAATTGGTATCTAGTGGTTTTCTGTTTATGGTTTTTGTTTTCAAAATTTTGAAATAAGATTTTAACGAAAAGAAAATATAGAACATTGGTAGATGAACTGACAATTATGGACATCTGAAAAAGATGTTAATACCTAGCATGGCCTGTGAAAATTTGTAAACAAATTAAAAAAAGAAAAAAAGAAAAGAAAAGGAGAGAGCAGCAACGATACCAAACTACAGAAACTTTGATGTTAGTGCTTTTTCAGCAGATAAAAGTTTGTGACCATGTAATAAGATTATCTTGCATTCTATCACCTGAAATTCTTTTCTGACTGCCATGCGTCATGTACATCATCTCAGTGGTCAGCAACACATGTTTTCTTGCCTGTTTATGCTTCTTCAACACTTTTACTTGTGTTCCTAAGTGTAGAGCCCTTTTTTCTTTGAATTTTGATCACCCTATGCCACCTGACATGCTTTCAAGATACAAGCCTTAAAAACTTCTAGCTTTTACTCTTTTTATCTTATGCAATTTTTAACGATGGAAGAAATTGAGAAATTGTTGGCTCGTCTAGATAATAGTAACCATATTTGATTGATTTGTTCAAGTTTATCATGTTTGCATGAGTTGCTGTGCATGCTTTAGATTGAATCACCTTTTCTGACGCTTCTGGCATTATGATCTGCAGTTGAGCGATTTTCTCTTGGAGTGAGAAATCCCACAGCTTTCTTATCAGGGACAATGGTGAGTCATCATTATTTGGATATAAACTGCATCACTTGGAAATTAATTTTCATTTTTGTATCATAGGTAATAATTTTTATACATTAGCAGCTGCCAAGCTTTAGCTCAACTCATTTTAGATGTTTCCTTGACTTCACTGCAGTCATTGTTTACAAATTTAATCCATGTTTGTGAATTGATATGAAACAGGAAAAATTGATTATATTGCCATACCTCTACTGGTATTACATCTTACATATATATAGCTACATATAGCATCTAAACTAGGAAATTAAAGCTATAAATCTTCTTAAACTCCTTGATTAGAGCCTTAAATTCGTATATTTACATCCTACAATACATCCAGAATATTCTAAATAGAATATTTCCTATTCCAACAATGCTGCTTTCTAATCTTTTAGCAACAGTGAGCTTGTCGAGAGGTTGACATTTTTTTGGACCAACTGCTGAGTAGCTCTAAAAGCATATTTGATAACCAGCGAACTTGAAACAACTTAGTTTTGCTTTTGTTCCTCGAAACCTTAAGAGTTCAAAGAGTGCCAAGCTCAGACTTGACATAAAAAGCAATGGACATACACATATATTTAATACAGTAAACAGCAGGCCACATGAAGTGAAATGAGAACAGATTCTTGATACTTGTTTGTTAGTTGGATACTTGAGAAAATGACCTGTGTTGGATGTGCCACATTCACATGCTATTTTCATTCCTCAAAAATATTTTTCACCCATTGCCATCCCACAAGTCTCCAGGTTTATACAACCCTACCTAATAAAATGTTAGAAATTGAACTGAGTTTCTGGATACTAATAAAACCTCATGGTGTTCTAATATCTGAGAATCTTGCTATCTTGTGTTATCATTTACCATCTCGTTTACGTGGATATAGATGAAGAAATCTGTCTTTAGCAAGGGGAATGGTATGTTATAAAAGGGAAGGACTATAATATGTATGAAGGCTGTGTAGTAAAGTCTAAATCCTGTCAGCTTGTCCTTTATTTTAATAAAACTCAACATTGCATTCAGTGAACAAATGTCTGTCAAAATGCTCATTAGTAGAAATTTGTGATGTGTGTATATTTTCTTCCTTTAAGCTGTAGTGAGAGCTTCAAGGTTAGGATTTGATTCAGTTTTGTTCTTTGGGTCATGGAAGTGAATGATGGAATAAGGTTAATCACCTGAAGTCTTAGAAACTAGTACTGTAAATTAATAAACAATTTGCATTTGAAAGATAGTTTGGTCATATATAAGCGAATATCAGAATATGTGATGGAAATATTTACTGATGATCATGACAATTCATCATCTGCTGCATAATTATGTTAAATGTTCTTTATAACTATCCAAATGAAGGTTACATATCATATATCTTTTCCGGTTGCTTATTGCGCTGAGTTTCTCTATTATTCTGATCTGCTATCTAAATGCAGGGTATATCTCCAGAGTGCTTTTTCGCTGGAGTTTGTTGTGGTGGCTTGATCACACTTCCACTTCAGGTGAATCTAGTTCTCTTAACAAATGTAGGTTTTGTTTTCATACGCATGTGAAAAATTCACATATTTGCTTGCATAAATATATTATATGGTCTTCAAATCTGTTCTCCATGTCCCTTGATCTCTCTAGGTCCCTTGAATCTTTGAAACACCAGAAACAGTTAGCACCTATTAGATGTATCTCATGTGTTGTGTACCTTGAAATACAGAAAGCACCATTCCTGTGTACGATAGGTATGGTTTCATGTGTAAATATCCTGTTAGTGATCAATAACTACAAAGGTATTACTATTAGCAACCGTGGAAGTGTGCATGCGGCTTGACTTGCTGATCAGCTCTTTTCTCTCACTTTTTTTCTGGCAATTGATTACTGTAATGTTGATTTCTTGACTTTTGACAGTTGGAATTTCTGACCTAGTTATTTGAATGTCTCATTATTTTTCTCCACTTTGGGTGGTTTTTTCCTTCTCAGCTATAAATTATAATGCCAATAGATAGTAAATTGGTAACATCTGGCTAGTTGGATTGCTGATTCCATCTGTTTTCTGAGCTCAGCTTGGGATTGGATTTCTATTGAGGAAGCGCCCCATGTTTGCCCTTGCCACAGTTGCAACAGTAGTGGTAAACAAAATCCCTTCGCTTCAAGTTCTGATCTTGTAAATATCAGTGTCTGATGGGCAAAACATCATGCAGGGGGTGTGGACTGTGTTTCCATATGCTATGGCTGCTTCAACAGCATTATTCCTTTACCTGCGTCACCGCTGTGCTTCTACGTAGTTATGCTTGAATTTGTCCACCATATGGTTCCAAAATTACGGCAGGATAGAACTATCAGATTCATATGTGCAGCAGCAATGCTAATTAAATAGCCGGATGGTTTTGCAATTTTTTGTTGAAAACCATCCTAAGGTTTTCCCTTTTATGCCTCTTCGATATTTACATTGTATGAACTACTTCCAGGAGAAGTTTAGATGGAGACATGTTATTTGATTTACAAATTAGTTAATAGCCAATTATAATTTTCAAAAGAAAAATTAGGGATTCTGTACTGCTTCTGTTGCAAGTTGGATTTTCGTAGATCATTGTATATGCTAGGCAATTCAAAAGAAAAAAAAAATTCATTGTTGGCCTTAAGTTTTGCGCAGTAAAATAAATTTAATCTAAAGGACTTTGGCAGATGCGTATGTGGTTGCTTCTTAACCCGATTTAATCAGCTGGGACTGGTTTTGATATTCCTCTAGTTCTGTTGCAGTAGCTTGTCCGCAAGAAAATGCGTTGGAAGACGCATGCTTCTTGCCGCAGCTTGTCTGTCTTGCATGGTTCTTCCAATACCAGTTCCCAGGACCTGTGAGATGGTTGTCGTTAGAGTAAGGATTTTGCTAGGCTCTTATTTTATTTATTTATTTTGTCCTTAAAGTGTCTATCCTTATATATATATATATATATATATATATCCTTTTAATTTTAGTTTTTGTTTTAATCTCTTCACTTTGTTAATTTTTTTACCAATGGAATTATTATTATTATTATTATTGCTCTCTTCACTTTGTTTTACTCTTATCGCTTCCTCTCTCTCTTGTATTGATTTTTTTTTATCGAATTTAAATAAATAAATTTTGAAAAATTAAAAAAAAAAAAACTGAAAAAAGGTTGAAGATATATTTAGTCATTTTCTATAAAACTTAACAAAAAAAAAAAAAGGTGAAGATAAAAAGAAATATATTTTTTTATCCAAAATATATTCTATGAAATTAAATTTGTCTCCGTAGTATGCAATATTTCATTTTATATGTCTCTATGATAGGAAGTAAATTTTGAGTATAAAATAAAATGTTTATAGTATTTTTTTTTAAGAAATATGAAGAGAGTTTTAGTTAAAATTTAAAACTTTAAATGATACTAATAATTTTATAATACCTCAAACGAGTAGGGGTGAGCAAATGATTCGGTTAATCGAAAACCGAATAAAATCGAATCGAATTATGAAATTTGGTTCGGTTTTAAATATAAAATTATACAATTTTTAATCGAACAAAAAAATCGAAATTATTTCGGTTCGGTTCGATTTTTGAAAAAAAATTTGGTTTCGATCAAAAACCGAAATACAAAGCGAAAAAATCCTAATTTCTAAATCCCTAACCCTAAGTTAGGCAATCTTCATTCTCGCTAAAGTCGAAACACAAAAGACAAGATGCGATCATGGATGTCTCCACTCTTTTCCTCTTCACTTATGCTAGGCCTTTTTTTTTACCTTCTTTTCCTTTCGTATTCTATATTTTCTCCTCTTTCTTCTCATACTTTGTTCACATCAAGGAAAATAGGGCATCTATTGTAAGTCAACTCGTTATTAGCTAGTGGATAAAGCAAAACCTAATACTCTGTTTTAGCATTCTATTTGCTCCTTCCCGCTCGAGGTAACATCTCCACCATTACACTTCTTGCCTCTCAAATCTACATCTCTATATTGCAATACACTAAATAATCACATTTTTTTACATATATATGGAGAAAAAAGGTGGATATAAGCTCTCCGGTTGGAGTTCTTGAAGACTTGTTTTAGGAGTGAAGAATCATAAAGTTGTTCTTCAAAAGGACCCACATCGGATGAGGTCGCTCAAAAGTTTCAAAGCCCGCTTATCGTTGGCAAGGATTTGTCAAATTACTTAGAAGCAAATCGAAGAATCCTATAGGAACATTGCATCCTCTTAGTGTCCTAAAGCTCTCTATGAGAAAGAGCAATAGCATGAGAGAAAGCATTATAACGAATCTCTTTTCTAATGCCGATTCGAGCAATTTTATGTCTCTAAAGATCAACTTCGCACTTCGAGCTCCAAGTCGCAACCAACAATTTTAGCCAAGGTTTTTATTCCGTTATGTGATGCTTTCCATTTCTTGTCCTTCCTTGTTTCCCTTCGTTATGTGATACTTGAGATGTACTTGGTTAGCGAACGAGAATAGATAAGATTGTTCGACCACACATGCAATACACACTCTTGGAGTGTAAACATGGCTCAATTTTCAAAAATTTAGCGATATTTGTTCAATAATAATATGAATTGTTTATGAAGTTTAGTTTTTTATGTGTAAAAAATCTAATTGGAAAATGCGATTATGCCAAAGTTTACAAAGGGTGTTTGCAAAATGGGAAAATTATAGCAATTAAACGGCTAACACAAGGAACAGTTGATGAGATTATTGGGGACTTTTTACTCAAGATAGGGATTTTAGCCTATGTGAACCATCCTAATATAGCTAAGTTGATTGGCTATGGAGTTGAAGGAGGAATGCACCTTGTTCTTGAATTGTCCGCACATGGTAGCTTAGCTTCTATGCTTTATGGTTAGTTCATGAATTCCGGGTTCTCGGTTTTGAAAAGCTTTTCGTTTTCTTACAAGTGCTAAATTTTAAAGGTTCAAAAGAGAGATTGACATAGCATGTCGGGCATAAGGTTGCATTACGAACAACTCATGGTTTACTATATCTTCATGAAGGTTGCCAAATAAGAATAATACATAGAGATATTAAGGTCGCTAACATTTTGTGTACAAAGGACTTTGAGCCTCGGGTATCAAGCAATAAATTTTTTAATTATTCTTACTTTCCTTTTTAGATTAATAATAACAAATGTTTGTTAGTGAAAGAGAAACAGACCTTAACTAAACTTTATTTTAGATTTGTGATTTTGGTCTCACTAAGTGGCTACCAAAGCATTGGACTCACCACATTGTTTCCAAATTTTGTATCTACTTAGACGGTCTAATGGCAAACTTTGTATCTATCTATCCCGCATATGCATTTTTTTGTATACATATCATGTGCATCATGTAAGTCAAACTTTTTATTTCTTATTTTAACTCTAATGGCTGGAAACATATTTCATAGTTGTACAGACATAGCTATGCCTTGTTTTTTCGGTACTCTTTGGCCTTTGCATCATCGAAGTTAGACAGGACCTTTTTTTTTTAATAGAAAAAAAGTTCGATTTAACCGAAATAATTCGGTTTCAAACCGAATTAACTCGAATTAATTTTGGTTCGGTTTCGATATTCATTTTTTCAAATTCGACTAACCGAAAACCAAATCGAATTGTGCATAACCGAACCGTTTAACTCGAATAATCACCCCTACAAACGAGTCTATTATAATTTAATCATTTTGAATTTCTTAATTTGATTAAATTTGGAAGAAAATTTATATTCTCACTTTTAAGTCAAATTAAGAAATTTGTGAAATTAAAATAAGTAAATTATAGATGACTCTTTTGAGGTATTAGAAAATTATAACTATCATTCAAAAATTTAAAATTCTAACTAAAACTCTCTTCATATTTAAGAAAAAAATAATACTATTAATATTTTATTTTATACTTAAAGTTTGCTTATTATCATGGAGATAAATTTAAACTTATAAATGATATTTTGGATAAAAAAAGTTTTTTTTTTTTCAATTGTTAGAGAGAATGGTCGGTATATATATTCACCTTTTGTTTTCAAATTTTATTTATTTCAATTTGGTATAAGAAAAAAAAACTAATATCATTAGTTCAAAAATTAATAGAGGGACATGATTAAGATAGAAATCAAATGTAAAATGATGCATTTAAAATGAGAAAAAGTAGGGATGCATGGTCAAGATAATGAAAAGGAAAAAAAAAAAAAAAGGTAAATGGACCTCTGCGACCATTAATCCGATTAAGTTGTTACATGATTTTCCATAGGTTAAAAGCTCTATGCGTACACAAACTCTTACTTTTGTATTAGCTTTTTTTGTTTTTACTTTTATTTATCTTAATGCATATTTAACAAAAAGTCATAATTACATGTTTGGCAATAAACTGTCTAATATGTTGACATGTGTGAAAGTCTATTTTATTTATTTTTTTCATTTTTCCTCTTCTCTCCTCTCTCTCGATCCACCATGACTGCCATCTTCTTCCTCCTCCTCTCTCCTCTCACTCCAATTCACCATAATCGCCACTTTCTTCTTCCTCCTCCTCTTTCTCCCACCATTAAAATCATCTTTTTTTTCTTCTTACTCTTCCTTTGTGGCAACATAAAAGGAATTAAATCTAACATTCAAGTCATAAAATGAAAAAAAAAACCCTTTAAAGAAATTGCCTATAAAACCAGCATAATCAAGAATAATAGCAAAAATCTCATCTTTTTTTTTTAATTCAATTTATCGATAGTCTCTTTTTGTAATACTCTCAACCTAAAATCCTCTTTAAATGTGAAAATATTGTAAGAATATTTTTTTAATTAATAAAAAATATTTGAATAAAGCAAGAAATGGAAGTTTATACTTATATTAAAGATAAATTAAATACAAGTATGATTATAATAAAAGGATTATGAAATGAATGAAGGGTGAATTAGAGATTGATACTAGTAATTGATAGGGTTATGTTTTGGCCTAGGGACGTAATTACAAAATATATGGGGCATAATTAAAATAATTAAAAGTTTGAATACTTAATTGAAATGATTAAGCAAATTTAAGAACTTTAATTGCTATTGGAAAAGGCCTAGGATAAGGGCTATATTGAAGAAAGTTGTGAAGTTACGGATCGAAATTGAAGTGGTCGATTATAAGAATTAAAAGTTTAAGGACCAAAGTGTAAAGTGCTATTGTTTTGGACGACAAATTAAATATTTTGAGAGAGTTATTCCAACAACTTCTAGGCTGGAAATTTAGGGAGAAAAATATCTCTCTAAGTAGGTTTAGATAGGCGAAGATAGGGAAGAAAAATCAAGCTAAAAATCAAGGAAAAAGAGGAAAAACAAGTGGAAAAAAATCAAGAAAAATCTAGAGGAACTCGTTAATGAAACAACTTGAGATTAATCCAAGTATGGCACACTTAATTTAATCCAAGTGAATTCTTTCCCAATAAATTCGGCTTGGAGAGGAGGAAAAGATGGTTGGAAATTTTGAGAGTTTAAGTGACACTAAAGAGAGAGTTTAATGAAAAGGAAAACCACCAAACCAACACGCCAAACCACTTTAGGCAACTTTGAAACACCCTAAAATTAGTTTGGAAAAATAAGCAAATGAGGTGGAAGAAATATCTTTTTGGCCGAAACTTGGAGGAGGAAGGAGGAAGAAATCCAAGAAGGAAAATTCAAACGAGAAGATGTTTAAGCAAACTTCAAACGAGATAAGTGTAATCCTCACTATACTATAAGAAACTAGTGTTTTTTTTTTTTTTATGTATATTAGATGTTAAATTGAAGTTTTATTGTTTATGGTTTTAATTATGGAGTTAATATGTTATTGGTGGAATTGAATGGTTTTCATGATATATTTGTATTTGTGATGATATAATTATTATGTTGGTTAGTTGATTTGAAATGGATAGGTGAATTTTGAAGACGTCATTGTTCTTAGAACAAGATGGTTGGATACCTTAGAAATGAAAAAATTTATGATTTAGATGGTTAATGCGGTTAAAGTATTTGATGAAATGATTTAGGAGCGTTTATGATATTGAATTGGAAAAATTGAAGTTAGTCACTTTAAGGAGCAATTTGGCCTAAGTGAGAAGTTTATGTTGATTGTTATAATTAATCTAATTGATGATAATTGATGAATTAAGGTTCGATTAAAGGGTTTAGATGTGAAATTTTACGGCAAAATGACCAAATAAAAGTTAACCCTCCATTGGGTAACCATTGGCCAAAATAGAAAGAAAAAGAGGAAATGATTAATCTGAATTTGAATGATGTTTTTAATAGACGTATGCAACGACATGAAAAATGATTGATTAATTGAAGAAAATGATGAGGGTTGAGTTGCTTGTTATATTCGACCTAGGTACTAAATTCTAGTACTTTGTATGTTTAATGTTTAAGCACGTTTTCATGCATACTTGTTTGATGTAGAACATATACCTATTTGATTAATTGTGTTACGTGTTCTTGAGGTTTTTTAGTATGCATGATGAGTTAATATTGGTGCATTACATTTTTAATTAAATGCATTTACATATGATAGTCATGAAAACTGATTTATATTTATGATTTGATAAAGGAAAAGGTAATGGAAAGCTAAAGGAATGCATTTGCATGTCATGATCATGAAAAGGATTTTACTTCAAGGTTTTTATGAAAAGAAAAAGGAAAAATGGCATGTTTTTCAAGAGAAAATGGCTAGACACCTTTAAGAGAAAAAGGAAATAGAAATGATATTATTGTGTAGAAAGAATTGAGTAACCTCTCCCAAGGAAAAGGAAAAGGGTTCTTTCCAAAAGGAAAGAATGAGGAATAACATTTATACTATTCTTTCGAAAGGAAAGGATAAGGAAAAGAGAGGGTGTCCAAGTGCTTTTTATGAGTTTTTCACAAATTGCATGTTTTAAAAGATGGCCAATTATATACACAATTAGCAAGATGTGCCCAAGAAGAAAAATGAATTTCAAAAGACATAAAAATAATTTTTGAAATGCATCACTTGCTAATAGCATGTCGTATCGCCAAAAAATTAGATATTTATATTTTTTCTTACTAAACCTACTCACAAGACTATAGTTAGGGTAGGCAAAGGTCGAACCCATAGGGAAATAGGCTAAATGGACTCGTTTCTTTTGTTTTGAGTGTTCTTGTAGTGTAAAAGGAGGTTTGTATGTTTGAAATGCTTGAAAAAAATATATTGAAATAATAGTATCAAAAGTGCCATCGTAGAACTTCAATGTCCACTTTTTAGTTTAGTTGATCATCGATTAAATAATTAACTTATCCTAAACATGAATATTCACTATAAAACAACAATATGTATGTTGAACCTAGTCTTTCCTTACTTATTCATTAATTGAATATATGATACCCAATTAATTCCTTAGCTATTGAACAACCTACTAAGCGCTAAATAGATTTAATTCAATAATAACATTAAATAGAGAAAGACGAGATGACGCTAAGCCACCTTCCTAAGCGCTAAAGAAGATGTAATCTAGTTTTATGTTTTTTAAGAGATTGAATGAAAACGTAAAAAATAATCATCAACTCTTAGTTACTACCATAGGCAAGTTCGGAAAAGCAATTACACGAACTTGAATACTTAGCTAGAAATAAATTAATATGACTAAAAAACTAGCATGCACTCTAATCAATTTAATTATATAATTATAAATCAATCATGCGAGAAAAACATAAAATACCTAATTAAGATAAGTTTAAAAATAAAATCCGTAATCTCACAACGATTAACCAAAATCTTCAACTTGATTTAACTAATAATAGAGTTTAGTTGCTCACAATGGATTATAAAGATAGATTTTTCTATGAATGATGGTTGCTAAAAGGTGAGGATCTAGAAATAATGCCTTAGCTTTCCTATTTATACCTAAACC